CGCCATGAAGACGTTTGTGGAGATGGACTGTGTATTCACGAGTGATCACTTCAGTCAACGCCGACTTCGACTTCTTCTCTGTCTTCGGCTTCTTTACCATTCTTTACAATTTGATATTTACTATACGATTATGTCATTAATTGATTGCAAACTTATTAATTAATTCAATAAAATCAATACAATTAGGCGTTAATTAATGAGTGAATTAAAAACAAACCTTTTTGTAAAACAAATTGCATTGAAATTGAAGACAAAATGTGTGTCCAAAAGGAAAAGGAAGTCATTTATAACTCATACACAACCACTAGATGTCACACAAACACATCGTTCATATATAACGTACGCTATAATAGGGGTATTTTGTAGGCATTTACTGCACATTTTATACCAAAATCAATACCAATCCAACACATGTGGCCCCTATTGGACCCCTTTTGCTACCCCAGACCTCCGTTGCCACCCCTAACCCCCGCTCTATTCACTCATTTTTATTATACTATTTCTAATTAACACATTATTAGCGCATTTTTTCGCAATAACTGCACAGATATTTGTACTTAACTTAAATGCCAAAGTGTTACCCGTATTATAGACTTAACCAATAGTTATCGCTATTATAATGAGTTAATTATATGCAAAATCAAACAAAACATTTCAAAACTCGTGAACAACTTTATTGAAGAGAAAGCAATACATTAAATGACAATTCAATGATTAGGTATTGAATTCAAATCAACAGCTTTTCGATCTCGCGTTGAAGTGTTTCGATCTGTGGCTTGAGTTGTGAGCCCTCGTTGATAGTGATTGAACAGGCGATCACCTGTCGGGCGACTCCACACGCTCTGCCCAACGCGTGCTTCGAGTTGACGAAAACGTACGGAACGTTCTTATCCTCGCAGAGGAGCGGCAAATGAAGAAGGATTTCAATGGGTTCCGCGTCCGCAGCCATTATTATCAGTTCCGATAGATTTCTGTTCAATGTTTTGGTCGCTGTGTTGACGAGACATACAAAACAATTTAGTCAACCACTGGATCAGCTAATCAGTGAATCGGGGCTCAAGACATACCTTCGTTGGCGCCTTTCTTCAGCTGTTTGTAATTGTTTGCCTGCTGTAAGACATTGAAGATCTTTGTGGTCAACGCGTTGTCCGCCAACGGATACGCTTTGGGGTTCACTTCACTCGTCTGTTCACTCTATAAGACACGAGCAATGGATTGAGATATAAGTGATAATGGGATCAATTGATACAAACCATTGTTATATTCCTCTCCGCAGATGTGCTTCACTGAGGAGTCGTTTGAAATGTGTTTTGGGTTTCGTTCACAACACGTGCTTTCAAATCAAGTCACACACTCTGGCCCTCACATACACACCGTTACCAACAATGTGTGTTCACATGTATTTGTGTCCCCCGTTTGCCCCCAATATTCAAGTGTATTGAAATGCACACAACTTTGATGTGAAAGTGGTTCACAAATAACGTGTTGTTTTTTGCATTGAATCGATTGAATACTGAATTTCATTCAATGACTGAATGTTTTGAACCAAAAGTTTTGAAACAAAATATAATTTGTTTTTTTACATTAAATTGCATTTAAAATGAGTTTAAATTCAGGAATATTCTGGCATTGCGTCAGAAATTTGAGATCAAATCTAAACAATGGTTTGGTTTGCAATGCATTTGTCGCCAGAAGTGTCACAAACACCCGATTCTTGGGATCCGTGTCTTCGCCGGTGCGGACATTGAATGGATTGCGTCCGCGGAGGCCATCACTTGTGGCCGCCTTTAGCTCAACGACACAACCCATGGATGACTTGACGTACGAACGCATCGCTGATCACACTTTGGATCAATTGACTGAAGAGCTGGAGATCATTGTGGAGACAAACGATGGCCTCAAAGAATCGGACGTCTCTTTAAGCGTATGTATGGATCGGTAGTGTTGTGGACATTGAGTACTCATTATATGATTGATTGTGTGAAGAGTGGTGTCATTACTTTGTCTCTTGGATTACATGGCGTTTACGTAATTAACAAACAATCGCCTAATAAACAGATTTGGTTGTCATCTCCTATAAGGTCTCAACTCTTTACTACTCTTTGATCTATTGATGCATTGATTAAATGTTTGATTGATTTGATTAGTGGTCCAAAACGTTACGATTATATCAATAATGAATGGATTTACAAAAGAGATGGCATTTCATTGCAAAGTCTGTTAAGCTCTGAATTATCTGTGATTTTAAAGCGTGAAATTAATTTAAATTGTAATTAAAATTATAGTTTTAATTGATTTATCAATTCATTCAATAAAAAGTCAACCATTTGTTCATTAGTTTAAGTTTTTATTTGCATTTTGTTTGTAAACTAATTCAATGTTTAATATATTTAATAAATAGTTTAAACAATCAAAAAATGTTAAATATTAATAAATATAAAACTTAAGTGAATTTAATGTAAATTTTATATAAAAAATGAATTTTAAGTATTATATTATTATAAAAATTAATATTTCAAACCTATATTTCGATTCAAACAATTTATTAAAGAATATTTATTATAAAATTTAAAATATTTAATTAAAAGATAATATATTTACGTTAACACTCTTTTAGACGAATTACAAGACATTAATTGAAACACAATTGAGACTCAGATTATGAGATAAATGTATGGATAAGAATGCTTAGACCCAATACTGTTGCTTAGGTTTAGGCTCTGTTTGGCCTAAATTGTGTTCAAGTGATAAACAATCGGTCGTAAAATTATCGGTTATATAGATATCAGAGTTCGGAGATTTGCAGCTATAGTCCATAAAATCCTTATATTTTGATGAATTATCGTCACAATCGTTGGATGAGTGAAATTCTGGTTTGAATTCTTGTGAACTCCAGACTGCGTTACGAAGGGAGGGAACGGGCGAACCGACCAGAGATGTGCCGTCACCTAACATACGGGTTGGCGACATATCCATTGAGGGCCGCCTTAATGGACACACCGAGTGGTGATAAGAACCGCAGTAATGGTCTTCGATGTACGGCTGTACTAATGGAGGAACTTTACACAATGGCACTGAATTCTGATCCCAATTATCAGTTAACATATTTGATTCGTTGGTGAAGTATAGGGAAGGCGGAGGGAGTGGTAATATGCTTGAGAAGCTGGAGTCTGGCATCAGGTCATGGGCTGCGGCCGCACAGCCGCGGAGTCTGTCAGCCATTGGTAGTCGAAGTAATGAACGCGGAGTGGATGTGCGGCTCCGGGTCTCGAGAGCACTACAATTGGTGCTATAAGTGGGTGTATAAGAGGGTGAAGTGGGCGGAGCCATCGGAATGAGTCCCGTTTCCATTTCGGACACAGAGGGTGTACTTCTGGGCGACAGTCTATTAGACATGATTAACATCTCTCCGCCGTAATCACTGACCGGCGGAGTCTCTAAAATGGCTGGACTTGTATTAAGTGTTGCACCGATTGGACCCGATTTGTTGTCTTTATGCGAATTCAATTGAGTGCCACTCGAGTGACAAACTCTTATTATCACAATTAAGGCAATCGTCAGTATAACCACTACAATGAATACAAATACTATTAACAAATGATCGCGATTTATGATTATATTCAAGTAATTCATGTCATTTCCGTCATCAAAGATTCCTATAGGTGTTCGCAAATCACTTAAATTGGATCTTAAGTTTTGGTCAATTGATTTGTGGATTCCTTTAGTTCTGATAATATTGATGACCAAAACGCCAGAAGCCGTCTGAACGTTGAATGCATTCAATTTATAATGAATGACATCTGTTATGATTTCGTTGGGATAATTCAGATTCAAGTCGTTGTTAGCGATGTATGCGATCCGACCGTTCACTATGTCTTCATTTGTGAATTCAATGTTTGGCACACTTTTATAGGAATTGGATTTTCGTTTAACTTTCTCTCCATTTGAAAACTTTTTCAAAACTCCAAATTTAGGGTTAATTGTAATCGAGAACTTTGGCATTGAATTTGTAATCAAAGCTAATTCACTGCAAATGCAAATATCAATACAAATGTTAATTGAAATGAATTAAATAAATAAAACTGTTGTTATAAGTCATACCTGGCATCCAAGTGATCGGTCGTCAAGTATGACATCTGTCCCGGATTTGCCACTAAAAATGGTTTATTTGCTTTGACCAGAGGTTTAACGGAAATCCAAACCGTAATATTCTTAATCGATTTATACGTTTGTCTGTCATTTTCGCGGATTATATCGACAATAAAATAATCGGTCGAAGATTTATTAATTTGAATGTATGACACGTGTAATGAATTAATATCTTTTTGTGTGAATTTTTCATTATTAGTTTTATCGTTAACTATAAGATAGCCATCAATGGGTCCTTCTTTGATGTAATAGACAATGTTTTCGGTCTTAATATTGTTACTAATTGTTGCCAAATGTTTTGGTCGTATTTTTGTTTTGATGGAACCCTGGGGTAAATGAATTGTCGAGTGATTAAATAATGTCAGAGTTAATTGTTGGACAACTATTGTCATCGTATAGACAGACGTGCAGTGAGTAGTATCTGTCGTCGACTCATTCATATCACGACAAATAGACTTTTCGTCTTTAATTAGGAATTGGATTTGTTGTTGACTTTGAGATCCGTTTTGTTTGAAAAACACTTTATTTGAATCGATTTGAAACTGAGTGAATGAATTGATGGGTTCATCGTTTGGCTCCACCATAAAGTATCCCGAAGTGGTTCTCATAGTATGGTTTGTGTTGAACTCATAGATGACATGATTAGGCATCCCGTCCTCATCGATAGCTTTAAGTATAGAATTAGAGATCAAAGTCTTGGAGCCAAAGACCACATCAATGCGTGGGTTGAGAGTCAATAGAACCGGCACTTCATCGTTAACTTTAATGATAAGATAATAATGATGGTCAATTTATATTACATTTATAATAAAAGTGCATAAAATACCCGGAATTATATTGACATCAATTGTATGGTTAGTTAAGAGAATTTCGATTCCGTTGCGAATATAAATAGTAAATACAAACGAATCGTTGAATGTATTACTGCTGTCGTGTTTGTAAATCAATGAATTCTGTGTTAAGGCACTCAACGGAATACTTTTGATTCTTGTGCTCATATCGTGTCCCTCATAGAGAACCACTCCGTGAAAGGGTTTTCGTGTTGTCTTCATATAAAACTTTTCAATCAATTTTGTGTTCAACTCTTTCTTTTGCCAATTCTTAACGAGTTTAGAGATATTGAGATTCTTTTCGGTTATAACTACAAACTGGCCCTCAATTACTGATAAAGGCATCACATCAATGAGTGTCAGCACTTCTGTGGTCATCTCTTCGCCCGAATTTCCAACCGCTATCTCCACAACAAATTTAATGCCTTTAAGTGTTTGAACGAAATGCGATTCGATGTCAAATATGATCTCGTCTTCGACTAAGATATCATTTATTGGTTTGTTTTGTTCGTAAAGAATAAAATTATTATTGATTTGTGTTTGAGTGAAAGATAGCACCGGTTTTGTAGAGCCGTCAGAATTCTCTAACAAGAATCGGCCATATTTTGCTTCTTTTGCGATATGATATGTGAATTGTCGGCTATTGTCCGCATCATTGGTCTCAACCAAGAGGTGATCTCTGGTCACNATTTGTGTTTGAGTGAAAGAGAGCACCGGTTTTGTAGAGCCGTCAGAATTCTCTAACAAGAATCGGCCATATTTTGCTTCTTTTGCGATATGATATGTGAATTGTCGGCTATTGTCCGCATCATTGGTCTCAACCAAGAGGTGATCTCTGGTCACCGACTGTTGCATTCGTGGAAAAACATAAAGCTTTTTGTTGACCACAACCGAAATCGTAACCGATTTTGCTGTAACTGTAAAAACATGCGGGGAATCAAAATTGGTTCCGTCGGTCACTTGAAACCTGAAACCTCCGGCCAGTTCTCCGCTGTGGACATACACTATAAGTGCGGAATCGATCTGTGTTTGAGTGAATCTCTCGATTGGATTCTTCTTGTTGTCAATAGTGGTTACGTAACCATTACTTGGGGTTGAGATTTGATAAACAATATCTTCGGTGACGGAGTCGTCATCGACTGAAGCCAACTGGGAGTTAGTGATGACAGCAGTCGTGCCCTCCCAGAGCTCTAATCCCGTATTATTGACCACATGTGGTGTCTCATCATTAATGGGTTCTATAATGACATGAATAGTCGCCGGAAGACTCTCTTTGTTTAAAGTTTAAACCTATTAAAGAACATTAATTAAAAAACACTTGCAATCAATTAAATCAATCAAATTGTAAATAAATGATAGAAAAAGCAAATCATATTTTAAACAAATCGGTCTTTATTTGGGCAAAAATACAAGACTTTATTCGGCTTCGTCTACATTCTCGGTCTGCAGGCCTTTGAATGTGGGGACGACGACGTGTGTCACTAATGTGTACAACTTGTTGGGCGAGTCCTCGTCCTCATTGCGTCTGCGGGCGAGCCTTACGCGGACCCGAAAGGGCACGTTTCGGATGCCTTTACTCCACAGGAATTTGTTGAGTCGCGTATCGATCCTCACGTCTTGAGTTCCCATTTGTTTTTCGGCGAATTTGCGGATCTCTTTGATAGCTCGCGGAGCCTTCCTCTTGAATCCCAGCGGTACTTCTGCAAACACCTCTACCTGACACATAAGTGCTCACTAGTGAAGTCAGTTGCGGCTGAAGCTGAAGAAGAGACAGAAGCCGAAGAAATGGTAAGAAATGTTAAACTATAAATGATATGCTTTATGTCATTAATTGATTGCAAACTTATTAATTAATTCAATCAAATCAATACAATTAGGCGTTAATTAATGAGTGAATCAAAAACAAACCTTTTTGTAAAACAAATTGCATTTAAATTGCAGACAAAATGTGTGTCCAAAAGGAAAAGGAAGTCATTTACAACTCAAACACAACCACTAGATGTCACACAAACACATCGTTCATATATAACGTACGCTATAATAGGGGTATTTGGTGGGCATTTAATGCACACCAAAATCAATACCAATCCAACACATGTGGCCCCCGATTGGACCCCTTTTGCTACCCCACACCTCCTTTGCCACCCCTAACCCCCGCTCTATTCACTCACTTTTATCACATCATTTCTAATTAACACATTATTAGCGCATTTTTTTTGCAATAACTGCAGATATTTGTACTTAAATCCCAAATTCATTCAAGTGTTACCCGTATTATACTTAGCCAATAATTATCGGCTAATGAGTTAATTATATGCAAAATCAAACAAAACATTTCAAAACTCGTGAACAATTTTATTGAAGAGAAAGCAATACATTAAATGACAATTCAATGATTAGGTATTGAATTCAAATCAACAGCTTTTCGATCTCGCGTTGAAGTGTTTCGATCTGTGGCTTGAGTTGTGAGCCCTCGTTGAT